AGAGAGAGAGAGAGAGAGAGAGAAAGAGAGAGACAGAGGAAAGAGAGACTGAAAGATACACCATTTGCATATACATTGTATATTTAACACCTCCTAAAGTGTCCATTCCATCTAAAATCCAAAGTATATATTCTTCCTAATCAAACACACTTTATAACACTTTCCACTCCCAGACGAGGTTCGAACCGGAACCTACAGACAGCTGTTCCACCCGGAGCAGCTGTGTACAGGCAAGGAGGACGCCGCCAACAACTACGCCCGCGGTCACTACACCATCGGCAAGGAGATCATTGACCTAGTTCTCGACCGGACCCGGAAACTGGCGGATGGCTGCACAGGCCTCCAGGGATTTCTGCTGTTCCACAGGTACTGTGTGTTTTACTGTACTTGTCTGTACCCTGCTCCACAGGTACTGCGTGTTGTACTGTACCTGTTTGTACCCTGCTCCACAGGTACTGTGTGTTTTACTGTACCTGTATGTACCCTGCTCCACAGGTACTGTGTGTTGTACTGTACTTGTCTGTACTCTGCTCCACAGGTACTGTGTGTTTTACTGTACCTGTATGTACCCCCAGGGTTTTGTTTTAGTGAGAGTTTTACAGCACTTGCAACACAAACAGGTCATACGGTGGCGTCCAAAAGAAACTTGAAAATGTAATCACCCAATCATCGTGTTAAAGCCCTGCACTACCCACTCATGCAGCATAGCAAGTTAAAGCTAAATAAATTCTACACCATCTGACCCACTAATGTTTCATCTATGTTAAGAGACACTCGAGATATGGTCACAAAAAATTGACTTAAAAAATTAGACATAGCAAAATTGTGAGAAAACAAAATTCTATTTTGGATCCTGGATTCTATTCTGATGGCACGGGCCTATAGTTTTCTGTTGCCAGAAGTCGGCCAAAATGAATATCTCCCCTTTCCCCGTATTTCCAGTTTTGGCGGGGGTTCAAGTTTCTACTAATTAATTGTAATCACTAGTTGGCCTAAATAATTTATCTCCTTTTCCCCGTGTGTCCAGTTTTGGCGGCGGCACGGGGTCAGGGTTCACCTCTCTCCTCATGGAGCGACTGTCTGTGGACTACGGGAAGAAGGCCAAGCTGGAGTTTGCTATCTACCCAGCCCCGCAGGTGAGTCTGTCTGTCTGTCTGTCTGTCTGTCTGTCTGTCTGTCTGTCTGT